TGGATCTCGAACCACAGTCACTTCATTCTGACATCGTTTGAATCAACTCAAATTGTACTGAATTTATACCTATCATTCGCTATCATGAATAAGAGCCGCGAATCAAAAAAAAATCGCTTCGTTAACATCGGAGAATTCGTGTCCGGAGTATTCAGTATGAGTTATAGATGGAATTTTTTACGGGACGACTTTTAAGGGTTGTTCAGCTTTTTTCAAAATGTTTACCGACATGGAAAGAAAACTTGCTAGCTAATGAAATTAGAAAATTCAGAAGAAATTCTTTCTGCCCTCTTAAAACCATCAGGGGAAGGATGACATTTCTCAGGCATTCTTCAGCTGCGAATTATCAGTCGTTTCGGATTGTGAATCGATGAATGCCGCACAAAAACTGTAAAGCAAACCACTGAAAGATTCTGATCATCGATTAGCAATACCATAGTCTACAGTGATGTTTACGTTCTCAAAAGGCGAACGACAACCATCATGCTCTTGTGTGTGTGCTGTCATCACGCATTTTGATTGATGTGACTCGTTGTCGGTAGTGTTTGTTGTTATGATTTTATGAACCTTCCTCAATCTCATGAATAAACCGTAAACCCAATCCTGGTGTGCCATCTCTCATCTTTTCATGGCCATCAATCATTGAACCTGAAGTTTCCTTGCGTATCCTCAGTTGAATCGATGCATATTCATTTCCATAGCACGACTACTAAAGCATTAGATTCGATTCGATCAATCATTTTCCTCCACTCGCATAAATCGTTATTCGTTTTCAGCATTTGAATGATGTTGTGGTTCGAATGAAACGAAATAATGATCAAGTTTCACGTTTGACTCATTTCGCTTATCGCTGTTCGCTGTCAGCAAATTCACGAGCTTTAATGTGCGTAACGTTTCAGTTAAAATACGACCGGAAGTACTAAATTGTAGTGTGGTGTGGTGTTGGAGAAGTTAGGGCGCGACTGCACATAGTAATCAAAACAATAATGATGGGTGTTCTGGATTCTACTGCAAGCGCGTCTACACCTGAAACCGCATCTGCAGTTTATGTTGGTGAGCATCTAAAGGCTACAGTGGAATGCTCAGATGAGGCACTGCGTAAATTCAAGTGTTCCGAATGTCCGAAAGCATTCAAATTCAAGCATCATCTCAAAGAGCACATCCGCATTCATTCGGGTGAAAAACCCTTCCAGGTTGGTCTTTTGTTAGTAAATACTCCAATACTTCTTTCAATTATTCGTGAACAATCTCTTATTGCTTGCATTATTTGATAATTATTGTTTGACACAATTCTTACATCAGTCTCTTTCACTATTCAACCTCAACGCTTCAATTAATGCTTTAAGTATATTTATTGCTCGTTTCAATCGAATTCATTATCCATCTTCGAATTGCGATTCTTCATTAACAGTTCGTCCTTCTTTTCATTATGAAGCAATTCACAGCACATCATTGAGTATCTTCTTGGAAGCATTCACTGCTTCTTTTATTCCACAAACAATATGTGTGAAAATTATATCGGTCGAGCGATTACGACGAGATCATTCCACAAAACTGAAATAGCTAGACCGCGAATTTAAATTAGTTTGTATGGGACGTGTATGTGGTCGAATATATGAATTGTTTACATAATATCGAACAATTTTCTCTGGTAATATCAATAACACTAACAGTAGTGATAGTGATGATGAAGCTCATAGAAATACTTGTTATCCTTATTATTATTATTATCATTCTAGGCCGTTTGATGATGTCCGTTAATTGTGTTATTATTTAATATGATGTGTATGCGTATATTCCTTTCATGCAGCCACTCATATATTTATATTCTCAATTGTGCATATGTATATATACGTATTTCACCGATGCATATCGAATTGCTTTTTAGTTATGATTGAAGCGTTGATTAGCATAAATAAATGAAATTGATATATCTACCTTCATTCGCACCAATACCATGTGCAATGATTGTTGATTGTAATGGTTCATTTGATTATTTGATGGATAGTTGAGTAGCTGAACGATGATTTTCAATGGAGATAACGATGATAATAACACCTCCAATCACTCATCTCATTTATGTAGGCAACAAAAATTGAATGTAATCTGGTATAGAACGCTAATAATTTCATTAGTTCTCTAATGACTGTCTTATAAACTATTTTGTTTATTCGTTAATTGTTCATTTGTTTATAACATCTCTTTCAAGCACATATGTTCGACAACTTGATAAGATCAGTTCAGCATTCTAGCTTAACCTCTATGATCATATTACGTCTTTATGATCTCAGAAGAATGATATAATTCATCAAAACAAGATTATTTATTGATGTCATTGTTTTATTGGCTTTGATGTGATGCATTAAGCGTTAGTTTTTCAAATGATTAGACTTTATCTCTCATAAATAGTTCAGTACTTTATTTTGGCGGAGCGGGAGATCTTTATTTAAGACCGATCTTATGACGAGGTGACGATAGGTCCAAAGAGCGGTGCAGGAATGGTACTGGTTTCAGCCGTACTTTTTTATTCCGATTGCGTCATATTTTATGAATTATTTTATTTCAATGTACATCTATCTCATCGTAGTTCAATGTATTCACCATTACATTATTGTTATTACCACATACAAACTGCCAGTTTCTTTGAACCGGTTGGCATACAATGAATGTCCTTGTTCACACCTGTTCAACACCACTGATCAAGTGTAACAAATCCTTTCTTCGCTTGTCTTGTTCGATTGCATTTCTACCGTGATGGATATCCATTTTTTCGATTGAAGTTCATCATTTATTCATTCCGTGATCATATGATCTTCGCCGATTTAATGAGATCACCATCGACCGACCGAAAATGAAAGCGTAGAAATAAAGAAAAATCGAAATTGTTTTTATCAATAGGAACTAAAAAGTTATTCAGATCAGACCATAAAATGATCAGGTAAAATGCTGAACAGCTTATCGAATGAATGTGATATCTTTCGCAGTTGTCATTACATTCCACTTTTCAACTTGTTGAGACGTTCAGAAGTATATATTGGAAAGCGCAAAAACTGGTAAGGCAATATATATCAGGTGTGAAACGTCTGAATGTTTCAAAACGATCCATTTGATATGACAATCAAGGTGTTCGTTCATTCAATTCTATATGCACATACGAATGCAATAAGATGAATTGCATCTGACGTTCTCCTCCAATAACAGTATGACACAATCGTTCCACTATGTCTTGCATACGGTATTCGTCGCTAAGGTGTGTCCGCCTGAGAAGGTGCGCAAGCATTGATTAGTCATATTTACATAGTAACGGCAAGTGGATGATTATTGCCTGTCGCTTGCATGTATCATTGACATTACGCGCACAGTCGTCTACGCTAGCATACTGTAATTCATCATTTCACTTCGCTCGTTTCCTCTCGTAAGTGAGGGTGTCTGATGATTCATACGTTTTAATGACTCCCTGCAACATGAAATAAGGAATCATTTACAGTTCTCTCATTTGCAGTGTGCGTTATACTGATTGTTTTGACATTTTAATAGTATTTGATTAGCATGTCACCTATTAGCTATGTTCTGAATACTTGAACGAAGCGGATTTCTGATTTGTAACATTTCAGTGTCCGCATTGTCAAAAGCGATTTTCACATTCTGGATCGTATTCATCTCATATGAGCAGTAAGAAGTGTACGGCAGCCGCTCAAGCAGCATCGTCGAACCTGGCGACGGCCTTCAGCGATCAGCTGACACTTTACCGAGCTCTGATACAACAACTACAAACCGCACAAACGTTTGCATCGTATTCCAATCTGAATCCGTATACTGCGTTCATACAACAACAACTTTTGCAGGTACGGATTATACATTTGAACGATTTGAGCGAAGCAATTGCTATTGCTATGAATATTTTGAGTAATAGGAGAAGGTGATTAGGAAACATCTCATGAAATAGACTGCGTTAGTTTCGTTGAAATCGCTCTGTATTCTAAGAGAATTGGATGCGAAAGAAAATTTTCGAATTTGTCAGTCGTTTTCGACATTATTAGGTGTTCAGCAGGTAAACGATGATTTCTTCAATAGACAAGCTTAATTACATTCGTCGTTGAAAATGCTTTCATTGATTGATTAATGAAAGAAGCCCTAATGAAGAAGGGTAAGTAAGTGAATGATTCATGTGTTTTGTCTTAGTTTCATTGAGATTAGATAAAACGGAGCGGATTACGATTGAAGAATTGAATCAGTCGGTCGGTCTCACTAAATAGATTTGAACCAAAAGTCACTGTGTAGCACCGCACAGGTGTTATAATGTGTGTACGTGAAGAAGTTATTTTGTTGTTCTTATTCTTAGGTTGATACCAATTCATCATCTTGTTCGTTGTTTTTAAAGCTAGTCCAATTTATTATTGTCATTTGTTTTTTTGCATCTTCATCATTCTCATCAAATTGATCAATTCAAACACACAGCGTATCGGTTCGCTCTTGCTGTACTAATTCCTTTCGCATTCACCACAATTACCATACACCGCCGTACCTTTCACTCTTAATCACTTCGACGATTAACCACTCAGTGCCGTCTACTGACGGATAATGCTTACGATTAGCTGTTATGATTGTTGATTTTGAGAGGGCAGAATAAAATTCTCATTTGTATGCTTTGAAGAAATCAATCTATTGAATAGATTTGAAATTCATTCACATGGATGGCAGATAACTAGAATGATTTCATGAAAAATTTTTACTGTAAGATTTGATCAATTGAATTTTCAACTGATTCTGAACTTACAGGTATCTAATGTGTCGTCACCAAATCTGTCATCGCCATCGCTCCTTCCCAGTTATTGGACGTCTCATCTAATGGATCTGAGCGGTGATGGAGGATTGTTGAGTGATACAAAATCGGATGTGAAAAGTATTGGTGGAGCAGTTGAATCGAAACTGAAGGTCAAAGAAGAAAACACTCATATTGATCAACATCGGAGTGATGCGATGACAAACAAGACGACCCCAACTACGCCAGATGGGATTGGCTCTGAGATGGCATGCTCAAAAGATGATCTCGACATGTCGATTGGCTCGAACGAGATGGATTGCAGCTCAGGGATCGATGATGCATCAAAATTAACCAATACCATTTACAGTAATCGTAACAGTGCTAATAGCCATCGTAGTAATAACAACAATGAAACATGGCGACCACTAAGGTCAAGATCTTTCCTGACGGATGCTCAAGTTGGTATTTTGCTGACACATTTCAAACGTAATCCTTTCCCGTCCAAATACGAACTTTCGGCTGTTGCTGAACAAATCGGTGTCAATAAACGTGTCGTACAGGTAGTTCTTCGTTCATGCATTATTTTTTTCTGTTTCCCGTTTCAATTCATCGATTATCGTGGTGTGTTTCTTCTGGCCAGAAATTCAAAAGACCTTGCAATTAATCGGTTTGATTAAATACACAAAGTCGTTTATTTCTTTATGAAACCCGTTGTTATTTCCGTTAGTTGTTATCAACTTCTTTTGAAATTGAACCAAGTAAGAAGTCAAATTTTAAGGTGTGGTTCCAAAATACGCGAGCCAAAGAACGACGGAGTAATCGTTTGGGAACAGCGAATGATCGTTACGGACGTTCCGGATGGGGTTTGACGGCGCAGTCGCGGACTGCAATTAGTAACAATAATGTCAACGATTCCATGCAATTGATGGCAACCGCATGGGCACAACATTGCTCATCGATCGTTGGTTCAGCTAAGGTTGTCATTTTTATCTTGGTCCAAATCGGGGATTTCGATTTATCCTCTATTAAAACGAGTTCATTTAAAATGTTATTTTATTAATTAAATTGATTTCATGTACACTCGGAACTTGCAATTAGGTAGGATGAGGATACTCTTTATGAGCGTATATATTCATTTATTTTATGTCACATTTGCATTCTATACTGAATCATCGCCTTTCTCATTTAATGTGTGTTCGATTCTTCTAAACGATGAAGTAATCAGCGTAAGGTTGATGTAAGTTGATTACTTCTTCTGAATGAAATTACTGAAAAGGTACGACTTTGTATGTGTGTGTGTGTACATTTCAATCAGTTCGATAAGAAAGATGTACGAGAAAGAGTGTATACTCTAATCCATTATTTCATACGTTCACTGCTGGCGTATGCCAATTTTGTGAGACGAGAGTGTTATGCAAACTAGTTTTATGGGCAGCCAAGTAACACATTAGGCCAGCTTTTACCGCATTCAGAGTTGTTTTGATTGCTTCTCACCGGCACACATACACACTCACAATTATTCATATATACATATACAATATATCTATAGGGCATATATGGACAGATGTGCACATCGTTTATTCTTACGTTTATCCTCAAATAAACTATTATATCATCGAATCGAATCCGCAACTGTTATCGATTGTGATTGGCCGATGCGATAGTAATGCAAACAATAGATCATTTTTAAACACAGCATTTCATCGAATCACTTTTGACCATTTCTTGATTTGGATAAGCATGGAAGTCTGTTCAACTTCAGCTGAACATCCCTTCTTGTTATAAGCTGAAAACATTGATAACATGCTCACTCAAATATCGCATGGCAAATGTATATATCTATTCAGAATATGCAAACCTTACTTGATACCATACAGAAATTTGAATTTGTTTGTAAGCCAATAATGCCGTATGAATGGTATCGATGATAAATGAGTGCTGTATAAATGCATGCATAAGATTAGCCATATCAGTGCACAAACTGCATGCATCTGAACAACAACGGTAATAATTCATCTGCTGAACGTGATGAATGATATGATAGAGTCTGTATTATAAATTCAAATTCATCATCGTTTGTACATTCGAATATTATTCAATGAGGAAGAGCAAACGCTTTATTATGTAAATGAGTAAGGCAAACAATATGCCGACTGTCCCGTGCTGCAACCTCTCACCTTCCTCACTTCCTTCCGTGTTCAATATTAATCTATCCGTTTGTTCATCCACCGATTCATCATTTATCTATCTGCTGTTTGTGGATAGCAATAATATGATTACGGTTATGGTAATTATATCTAATTAAACAGAAACATTCATTAATTAGGTGAATTCATTCAATTGAATGCTGTGTTCTCGTTCGTCACACGGCAATTTTCGTTTTCTGTCGAATACGTATCATCGTGATCGTAATTTCATGAGATATGTAACGTATCAGAATAAAGCATAATTGTTTGCAAATTGGCAGTAATATTGTTGAGGACTGATGATGATGATAGTAGTCGTAATGAGGGGTAATCCTGTTTGAGGATGAACGCAAGGGAAATGTTGTTGAAACGTTGCCGAAAGAGGAACCATTAGATGGAACTTGTGCAGATTCACCGTTGGATTTATCCGTGAAAGATTCCGTAACGCCACGATCCGATGTTCTATCGCCAGCTTCAGCTAGTCATTGTTCAGCTCAGGATGATCCGGAACCACCGTGGTCAGCCGCAAACCTTATAGGTAACGACCATTGATTAAGAGAGTTTTCTTCGAAAACCTCCAAAGTCTTGTGATAATTCTAGTTTGCAGTGCAGTGCCTCTTTTCGGCAATTGATGATTGTGTGAAAATCTGCTTTTCAGTCAATTGATCCATGCAAAATGTTCATCAGAATCAAAATTAGATAGTCTTTCATCGTATGGTGGTTCGTAAGAAGACGTTCTGATCGTCATGGAGTATTGAACACGAATTTAGTGTCAGCTAATTTCAGGGTTCGTTCAGAAAGGCAGTGAAAGTATCCGTGAAGCGCTTTTACAAGCTGCAAAGGGGCGTCCGGTGACGCCAGCTGGCGATTCGACCTCGCATTCAGAAGGTGGTGGCGATACAGCTTCTGAAGCTGGTACCACAGCTGACAGTCCGATAACGTCATCCTCTTCTGGAATTTGGCCCAGTAACATCTATCTATCGCAATATTCTATGCTTGGTACGAATGGTTTGGCTGGACTTCAAAAAGTTCTTGAGGTGAGCATTTTGAATGATCGGAAATAATGATACGTGTGCATTTCTAAGCGAATAGCTCTATATGATTGTCATGAAGTTTTACGTCGAAGTTATGCTCATGTTTCAATCGTACGCTGCCAATTTCGAACTGCTTTAAAGAAGATGAACAGGAATTTAAAGTTTCAGCAAGGAGATGATATCGACGAGAATGCATCGGATATATCGAGCAGTGAGAAACGTGAACGTCAAAGCTGGAAACTGCATCGTACCGAAGAAGAAGGTCTCTATGCATGCGATCAGTGCGACAAAATGTTCGGCAAACAAAGCTCGCTCGCAAGGCACAAATATGAACATTCTGGTCGGTCGAAATTGAACTTACTTCTACAGCCATAACTCACGAAATGTGTCCTTGCGACTTTAAAAAGCGCATCTCATCTACCTAAAAGATAATCTTGAGAGTGGTATTCTAATTAGATTCCATCCGCTGTTGAAGTCATTTGAACTACTCANTCATCTTTGCCGCCAAACTGGATCACTTTCTTTTTGTAATGAGATTTGCATAATCCAATTCGCCTTAATATACCTTGAAAGTATTGTTTTCGCAAATTGTGGGTTTGTATTAATCGTTTGAGGTGATTGCATGAATGAGGTAGCTGATCCGTATGTCCATATGAGGAAAGGTCAATGAACATAGGTTTTATTGCTGATTAAAAAAGAAGAAAAGGAACGGCAAAGGGAAGGTTAAGATGCTTGAGAGGGTGGTGGGGGTGCTTAGAAGGGAACAGCCGGTGACCTTAAAGAAGCTGTTGAGTTAAAGGTATGATTTGCTGTGTATGATAGGCTCTCATGAGATGTTAATATCTGCTGTTTGATGTTAGCGCAAATCCCAAATGAGCATCACAAACAAATAGAGTTGAGTAACCTCTTCACACCCGTCTTTATCAAGGTGCGTATCTGAAGAGGTACCGTGAATATGCAATGAACACGATCTTATCTGTTGTGCGGCACCACCCAAAGGGTCAATAGCCAAAGTCATATCCACAGCAAGCAGCAGATGTATACGCGCTTTTGTATCCTCAAATGAATCCAGTCGAGCGAACAAACGAACGTTTAATAATGATTGATGATTAATCAACGTTCTATTCTCTTTTTGTTATTTCCTCTCTATCATCTTCATACTGTTTCGGTCTAATATCCTGTCGTATCGCATCTTATTTATGATGATTATGGTTATTAAGGTTCTTATGAGAATTAGGATTATAAGTAGTGCTCATCACAAGATATTCGCACATTCTTCATTAGATTAAATAACGCTCATTTATTGGGAGATATCCTAATTGATATACTATTTTTGATCTCTATACTGAAAGTGATATCTTTTGATATGAATTCCTTGAACTGTGTGATTAATGCTAATGATGAAGAGAAATTTCAAATTAAGGAAAAAATGCATTCAGTTAGACTGTGATTAAAAACTTTATTCATTTGCAATTTAGGCGAAGAGGATAGTAATGAATTTGATGACTGTTTGCTGAATTCGATTACTCTTTTTAAAAATATTTGATTTTCAGGCCAACGACCGTATAAATGTGATGTTTGCGATAAGGCTTTCAAGCATAAACACCATTTAACCGAGCATAAACGTTTACATTCTGGTGAAAAACCATTCCAGGTTTGATGTTGTTCTTCATTTTGATCAGTCATTTTTTTCAAAAGCATATCATTATTGAATGATTTTTATCAGTGCTTATTTTTACAAATTCCACAGTTTGCACATATTGGAATACTCGAATTATGTGTTCATGTACGCAATCCGCTTGGATAATGAAAAACGGAGTGAATTTGCTTTCATAAAAATTTTGGTTTTCTAAATTCAATTCAGTTTCAGTGCGACAAATGTTTGAAAAGGTTCAGCCATTCGGGAAGCTATTCACAGCATATGAATCACCGATATTCATACTGCAAACCATACAGAGAGTAGTAGCAGACAGTCAGTTCCACCCCATTCCTTATTGTTCAAGTCTCTTCGCTTTATTCGTTCCACTCAACTTTGTTATTTTAATTGTTGATCAGAATATATTATTCTGAATTGTTTTATATGTAATTTGGTCGAATCTTTGATTTGTTTAATTGCCAAAATTTGCCATTTTCAGTATATATTCAATTGAAATCCATTGCGTCCATCGTCTTGCCAATGTTGTACAGCTGTTTTTTGTTCGATCTTAATTTATACATTTCCTATTTTCTCATTCAATTATTGTGTTCATTTGTTAGTTGTTTTCTTCCATTATCCATTGTCACTCAATTATTCATTGTCTTCCTTCGTTAAAATGCCAACTAATAGTGAAAGTGTATGAAAGTGTTTTCTTGAATTTCTTATGATCATTGATATGTTGCCGTTTGAAACACTTTTTTAAAACTCATTTTTCTAATTTATGAGTCTTCCAGCGTTGAGTCTTTGCTCCATTGAACAGTTTCATTCGGTTACTCTGATTGTTTCGTGCAAAATTTTCGCTTCCTCTCGAACAATTCGCTTTTAATCTCATTCGACTGTAGCATTCGTTGTTATCATTGCTTCTCAATTATTGCATTTCCTTGACATCGTTCTATGTTCCATCATTTTAAAGTTCCTCGTTGCTTAGATCTCTACACCGGTGCTTCCGTGCTTGTTTTTCAACTATATTACTGCGCAGTAACTACCTCAGTCAGTTGGACTTGGAACGATCCTCGTAAAGATTACTTCATCACATGAAATCATAAATCTGAATTTTCTTCGAACGTTTCTAATCAATACTGATGTTTATTAATGTGTGAACACCTTAATTTTCGCATGAATACATCGTAAAATTCTCGTAGGTATTATGAAGTTTTCTAAAGGGTTTTTGAAGGGGAAAAGTCGCATCTTGAAGGACTTCGAAACTTCATAGTAGCGGAATGAGTTGTAAGTGAAGTTTTTGAATGTAAAAAGTGGAATTATTTCATGAAAACGGTCAGCTACGCAGTAAGTTAAACATTTCATCGATGAATTAATTGCATGAATAAATGTGTTGCACTGCAAATTGTGATTGATCACTTGTTGTGTTCTGTGTCATTTAATGAATGCTTTCCAAGTGTATTTTTTAAAATAACATGTGCGATATTCCTACTTCATTTGAACTGTAAATGGTAATGATGATGAGTTTAGGGTGCATTTGCTTTTCTCTTATTCCAACTAGTCTTCCAAAATGTTACAACATCACATAGCGTTATCTCTTATCAACGTTATCTTGTATCATTTCTATCCACAGATCAAGTCATGAACGCGAAATTCCGTCGTTCATATATTATTTCAGATTTGTTCTTCTTTATTTGGGATTTAGTCTATTCGTATGGTTTGATATGATATAGCAAAAGCATGAAATATGTGCAATCTTTATTGTTATTTATTTATTTGATAAGTTGATGTTTTCTGTTCATTTTTTGACTGATTCAATATTTGTCATCATTGCGTATTCGATTCGCTGCAGTTTAATAAACTTTCTAAATTAATTGATACAGTAGATTAATCATCAGTGATAAAGGTGACATATTCTGATAGATATATGTCGTTTGATGGGTCCAACTTCAAATAACACACAGAAAATGCATTTGTGAACGGGAACAGCTTGCTGTTTGATACGTACGTGATGATAACGGCAATGATAACGATGACAGTAGTAATGATGAAAATAATAATGCTAGTAGTATTGGTAATGGTGACGTGAACATGGTGATAACAACGACAGTACCAACAATAGCAAAAATGGTGATAATGACAACAATATTAACGACAAAAGTAATTGGGATAATCACAGCAAAGATGCGTTTGTGATACTGTCGAAAGGTGGAACAATACAGCATTAAGATTTGGAAAGAGGATCGCTTCATAAGAGTGGAACGAGATGGATTTGTTCATTGTTTATTGTTTATTGACGATGCTATATGAGGATAATCTGATGTACGTGAATGATGGTGCAATAAATAAAGTGTCAAAAGGTAATCGATCTTAAACGATAATGTTGATAAAAATAGAGCAGATGCAGATTATACATTAGTCGAAGAATGAGCTGGTGAACAAAATGATGGAGAAGAGAAGCAGATTATGTTATATAAATAATTGAATGAATACAATATACATAAATAGATATAAGTATCAATGTATACCATATTATGTGAATTTAGAAGCCTTTGCTGAATACAAAATTCCTGAGTATAGTGAAACACATCGAAGAGTTCTCCTGAGTAATAATCCTCATTTTAGTAAGATAAATTTTTCTATCCTATTCACAAAAAATCTGGTCTAGCCTTACCAGAGGGTCGGTTTTCCACAGGACGGCATATAGCTGCAAAATTCCATATTCGAGGAATATAAAAGATCTTGAAAACAAACGTAATAGACTCAATCCCGCACTAAAATTATATGACTGGTCGCAAATGCAATGTGCTACCTGAATGTTTACGTGGAATGAAATGAGCATAAAGAATGAATTTTGAGAGAAGAATAATATGAAGCGATTTGATAAATGATGACACTGTGAGGGGAACGATAGGATGGTAAGAAAGAATTTGGACAGTAGAAAGGTTGATTGAAATGAGCATCGAGGTTCGGTGAAACGGACAGACAGGCACTTTCTTTGTTTATTATTTCAATTATTCATTTATTTGAATATTTTGAATACAATATAATAGCAGTCATTTAAATACGTACGTACCATTTTGTTTGTTTGTTCTTTCAATAAGATACGCACAAACCGAACACATTCAACCTTACAGCTGTTCTTCACTATCATTATTTATCCTCTTATTGCTGATTCTTTTGCAAATCAGTTTATACATTACAATATTTTACATTGCATCACATTTTTCACCTGTCTTCTACGAAATCGTTCAGTCATTCGCTCTGCGTTTTAATATCTTTTTTTAAAATGAACGCAAATATCAGTCGCAATATACATTTGCATTTGCATATGGATGGACGTGTCTTATTGAATGCTGAACTTGAGTGAAGGGATTCAGCTTATCAATGTAAGAAAGCAGTGGTAAGTATACGAAAGTGCAAACTGAATACCGTAAAGTTTCTCGTGTAGACCTTATGACGTTGTGGTAAATTCGGGGTAGTGATTGGTGACTTGGCTGCGAAAAGATATGAACTGAAGTTAGTGGAACAGAAACAGATTTGAGTGGAAGTTCGTCTGGTTTCGAAAAGTCGAAACATGCTTGGTTAACCATTTATACTAAAAACTCGTCTTCATGTGTTCATTGGTTTTGATCTTCTGTCGTGCAAATTGCAAAAATTAGTGATCAAAGTTTTCANGCGTTATCGTAGTGTAAATATGACCCGAAGAGATTTTGTGATAACAAATAATGATTTCTTATTGTTAGATTATGAGGTATACCTGAGTACAATTCAGTACCAACACACACCCTCTCAACCAATATTCTAACTCCAAAACGCAACGTTCCCGAGATCGGTGAAGTGTGCCAAATCTCTCCAAATAATCAACCGTCTCTATAAGTAAATATATATGCATATTGTTATCACCGTATTGTCCTCAGTAGCAAACAATACTGCTGTTAATGTTTATGCAAGCAGTCCATAAAATTCGAAGAAATTTGCATGTGAAGGGAACGGGAGCTGAACGATGATGCGAAAGTGATTATAAATTAAACGAGAATGTGCGTCCATTCACTCATCCATTCATTCGAGTATACTTTGTTTGTACAATGCATTAAGATACTCGATGTGGCGTGGTAAGGCATGACACGACATGGATGACAAAGGTATTAATAGAATTTGATGAAGATAATGAAGAAATTAATAAGAATGAATGAGTATTGATGTAATAGTTAATGCTGATGTTATTATTGTTATTGCTGCCGTGATGATAATCTAAGATGTGTGGCTTCGCACTCATAGGGAGTGTTGAGTTTTAGGATGTAGAATAAGGATAATGAACGAGGATGACAGAATAGAATACGGAATGCAAGAAGTATCTATTGGTTGTAGTGTTTTGGCTCTGCTAATGAGGCACCATTCTTATCGTAACTCATCCCATTGATGCTGCTGGACGAGAGAAGTAATAGTCATTTGCGATCGTAATCGCGACCTTGGCATATGGTCAATAAAATTAGCATACCGAGCGCTTTTGCTCTTTATAGCAATCAGTTAGTGTGCAACCACCAAAATCCGTCATCAGTCAAGCCAGCAATGAACCTCTCAAGCAATGAGCTGCTGCATCCTTAATCCACCTATGCAAGACGAACATCTTTTGAGGGAACTGCCAATTGTTCGCGTCAATACGTTTGTGGCGCTGAATAGAAAAGATGAGAATTTTGTTGAAGGCACATTCTCAGTGCACACACCGATAGATTAAAACTGAAATTTATATGTTCAAAAGCGTCAGCTTGACAGTATTAAGTTCGAGATATTCCACGGTTTTTCTTTTCCATTCCGATGCAGTCTCAACCAATCATAGATCAATTTTCCGTGGATCAGATGATTTACTAAATCTGTGCAATCTACACAAATCCTCCAGATAATCAATCCATTCAAGAATGCAGTAGTTTTAGAATGGTATCAAAATGTTCATAACGTTTCTCAGATAATATTTCATCGTAAATGACCTCAATAACGATGGGTATCTAATGAATGGTTTACGTCGTGGAATGATGAGGAGATCTTGTTTGTAAATAAACTATATCGTGCAGATATAATACTTAGGATTAGTGGATGTTATAGGATAATCGCATTCGATCAAATCGTTGATCTATCGAGAAGCAATGCAAAACCCGCGTGTACCAGGACAGCTGGACAAGATTATCGATGAAACACAACACGTTACATTAACACTCATCAATTCATAGCAACACTCATTTTATCACATATTGCCAAAGGTCCTTTTGAGGGAGCAATTTCAATGTGTTCGGTTCAGTGAAAGGTTCTTGAAGAAACACGAACTCAGCGTTCAATAAAAAATAAGCCTTTCATCAATTTTATTGATCCAATAGTAAGACAGTCTGGAAATGATCCCACCAAGCTACTGATGTACGGGAGGAAATAGTGCAAATTTCTCACTGAGAATAGGAGAGACATAATTATTTCAATAAGTATTTGAATTACAGATCACAAGATCTCTGAAATTGAAATAAATTTTGATATATACACTGTCTAGTGCGCACGTATTTGTGGCAGTTCTCAATATATGTATGAAATTTCGAACTTTTGAATGGTCTCAACGAAACGGCTTTAGTTATTGAAAAGATGCAACGATCAGGAGACAAGATGCATGTGATGCATCAAACAATTACTTATGCATACAAGACACTGAATTTGTATGCGTGTAATTCCATTAATAATGAATATTCATAAGCATTGGTCAGCTGTGCCAATCACATTCTATGATGAATCACCAATGTTCCTGAGTTCAAAATCGCCCAGAAATATATGCTTGATAGGTGTGAAGATGTATGTGAACGTATGTGAAACTATCACTAAGGCAAGGTGTCCGCAATACCGAACTCCAGATTAGATTAAATCATAGCAGAGTATTCGGTATTCACAGATTGAGTTTGGGCATCAGATTCCCGTCAAACATTCATCGATAGCTGTGTTCATGCGACTCATACCCATGAATCTTCTAAGCATCATTAAATTTTTGCATTATGCTTGCATTTCCATTTAAGAATTACAAAGTGACAGATATAAAAGTCTCTCAATCTTGAGGAAGAGTCTCACGTGTGAATCAAGAACCTTCATGGAAGTAAACGATCGTATTGATGAATGGCCTTTAGATCAATGGTCCTCTCGCTCGCGAGTTCCATTGCACTCTTCGATGATCTGGCAGACCCTCATTACCTATCTCTCCACTGCAAGAATTCACTATTGCCGCATGTGCAATATTTTGCCGATAAATTTTTCGGAAATTGAAAGAAACAGGGTTGTGAGTGATAAAGATATCGAATTTCTTGTTCCTTTGTGGGGTTCAGTGAACCAAATTGAGGCAAACTTGATAAGGAAGGTGCAGATTTTAGAAAGTTGCAGGTTCATCCAGCCCTGATTTTTGTCCAGTGAGTCAAAAACAATGGTCATCGAAATACTTGGAGAACCACAGAGAATCTCGTTCAGTATTCTGTAGTTATAGGTTGTTTTATTCAGTTTCTTATTCTTCAGTTAGCGGTGCTATCAATCGCACCGTTATTATAGTATTTGCATGTTTTCATTATTACATTATGGAGATTCCGTGTGGCTAAACGTGACATATCATTTGTATTCTTTCGGACTGTCGTTGTTTTTCATTCCCGAATTTGTGTTTTATCTTGATATTTATCTTTGTTTATGAAGTCATAAGGAGTGTGGAATAATCAATAAATGTTTAGACGACGTCCTTCAATTTCATTGGCTTTCCAATGTAAAAATTGAAGCTTCGCAGGAATAAACAAGCTGCAAAATTCTGTTGCATGACACAATTCTTTTCTCGTGTTGAAATACGCGCTCAATTTATTTTTTTTTCTGAAAGTTATCCCAGTTCTCTTTCAGTCTGAAAGATCATTACTATGTTACAGTATCGATAAGATCTGTAAGGATCAGTATGATATCAGCATCCTTTTAGTCGAATTCAGCTTCAACACGTACATTATTACTTTGATTATTAAAACTTGCTGGCTATGAAGCCGACGCTCACAAAAGTCGATGTAAATAATCAGAGTGTGCATGATTGCTGTGTATTTCGTGATTGACATACAAGCGGTACTTTGTGTGTGCATCACTTTGCGATCGGACATCATCAAAAATAGCAAACAACAAATATTGTCAATAAACATCCATCATAAATGTACAAGGTTTGGCATCACATGAGAATCAATTCGAGCTGTAGCTGGCAGAACTGCTCAACAACATCGTTCAACTGCTAATCATACCTTTCGAAGGTATACGTACTTATCCGAAAAATTTTTCACACTTACGATTAATTATCCCATTGCAATATCAAGATCCATTCCTCTGGTATTACCTTAACTGTTTCATCGAGCAGTTCAGCCATAAAATAGCAAAAATATAGAGGCATACATGAAAAGATAAAAATAAACCACAAAATAAAAAACTACACATTTGTTAGAGAATTGAAAAAATAGACTGACGAACAATCGCGTTAACTCGTAGGTCGCTTTCATTCATCTTTCATCCAGCATTGTTCTTGAACAATGAAATCACTTCAATCACGATTAACTGATCGAAATCCTTTCGCGATTTAAGTGCGACTAAGGAAGCTTATGATAGCATCGTGGACATGGTACAGTCAAGTGATAATTTCCGATTCTGGTTTTGAGGAGAGTGTTGCGATCAGAAACAACAGCTGGAAATGATCATTTTGGAATGTATCAATAAGAAGCGTGCACTACTTGATGAGTAAGCTTGAACTTCATATGTACGGCAAAACTAGCCCATCTACGAGCGATTCTCAATTCTGAGTTGATGCCGCATCCATTTCTATACAGCACATTTAAAATTTTAAGTGAAAACAGATCTTGAATCGATTAATAACAATAACATGAAAAGTTTCATGCAAAAGAGCTGACACAAACACAAGCACTGCAAAAACTATTCACGCTTGCAATATCAGTTCTCTGAAACGTTCTCACATACAAATGCTTATAATAAATTGAGAATATATAAGAATAAAGCTTATTATTCACATGTTTCAGATCAAGCGAACACATACGTAAAATGGTCACTCCAATGGCTAATAAGGGATTCGCGACACCGATTAGGTTATACCGATCAAGTCGTGTTCTAGTGTTTATACAGGAGAAACCAAGATTCTTTCTCGCTGAGTTGAAGTTCTGACCCGATGAGTGGAAAAAGAAATTGAAAACGTTTCATTAATGTAATGTTTGCTCCAGAAGTGCTCTCTGCACATCCAAAGTTAAACTTTCAAATAATAACAAAAATCCAGTGCTAACTGCAATAATAAATAGGGATTGATGTCATGAAGTGATGAAATAATATTATTTACAAATATCAATAAGAGTCTGATTAACACATGTTTGACAAACAACTTTACAGCACCACTGAAACTTGCAACGACATTTAGTTTCTGTTTCCTTTCGATAGGTGTTATATCCTCGACCACAACATAAAATATCACAACTATCTGCACCCATTGAACCACGCCTGAAATTCATTCTTTTTTTTCTGAAGACATCTCACGTCAATGTTGATGAAGCAGAATTCATTGAGACTTCGTTTGTAATTCACTTTCAGCTTCAAAACATCAATGTTCACAATTCTCAGTGAGCAAGAAGTATCAGGTCCAAGTAGGCTGAACATTTGCTTCGTTATTGAAAAGGTTTTACAAAACCATTAGGCAGAATAGCAAATGTAATGGCATTCTGAATGTAATCAAGGAGCTATACCGGCACATTCGTCCGGTCGTTCCTAGAGTGCCTTGCGAACGATTCTCTCGACAGTAGTCTGGACTGTTATCCAAGAAGACGAGTTCAGTTTGCAAAGCACGATTCTTTCGTTTGCCATTTCGTTGTCGATCTCGTTTGTTTGGTTGATTCATAATTTGCATATTGCCTCTGGCATTAATCTGAAACAACCTCTACTTCAGGCTGTTATTTGGGGATGTTTCAAAGTTGTTCATGAACTGAAGTAATCCCCGCGAAGAATTAAATAATCGATGAAAGATGAATATTAATTTTTTTCGCAGATATCAAATTTTCGTCCAGAAATGTCTTGTCGCCAACCTTTTTTCGACCAAATCTGTGCACTAATTGTAAGCAATTCCAAGACTCAACCAACAAAACTCGTTTAAGTGACTTGCCTGAATTCGTTTGGCCGTATGGTACTTATTCAACAAAATGCCACCCATTTGTCGCATCGTCGGTAACTGCATCCAACATGTTTTCAAGTTGCACGAACCACTCACCCCGTGACATTTACATTTCGGACGTGTATGGCGCTTTATTAACTGCAAATATGCAAACATTAAATTGAACCTTAACCTGCAGGTTCACTCTGTCGAAATGATTAATAATAACTTTGATCAGTGCTGATCAATGGCTGCCTAACACTACACATATTGCTCAGTTTCCAATCAGTCTTGATCATGTTTCCGCACTTGGTTTCTTTAGAACTAAGCATAAGGTATTACAGTTCAATGAGTGAACATATTCGACGTTTGTTGAAGTTAGGGCATGATATGTGAGACTTTTAACTCATCTAATATTACGAATGACGATTAAATGAATAAATATGCGCAGCATTATAATATCAACGGTGTGGCTGTTGAGCTAACAAATGGGTTGATCACTTCTTACAGTCAACATTAGCCATGGACGACGACAAACAAAATTGATGATAGCGTTTAACGAGATTATCGCAAAGGTAAACATCCTTCTCAGTGCTTAGGCAAATATCTCATTTACACTTTATCTCGAATTAGATAAACAGAAGCAGCACAAAGGCACTGAAGATTCGACAAGAGAGGAGGCAAATAAGTTACATAACTATTAGATCAACAAAACCATCTTGATTAGCTTATCATTTTTTTGAGTTTCGATTGATATGGCACTGCTCAGAGTAGTAATTGCATAAAGTGATATATATGCGGCTTTATGATAGTAGCTCCCTAGTTGACTGCACCCACAAGACTTTGATGTCATCGATTGATATGATAGCAACTCAGACCACGAATTCCATCTCTACCATTAGAAACATATAGCACCGAAAAATTTAGTGATGAACTAAAACTAGTGGAATGAAGCTTTTAGCTATCAAGTAGATAGAGAAAAAGATACTCATTGCTACAGTTCAGTACTAATGATATTCGTACAGCACTCGATTTCGAGGAAAGTTTTGCTCGAAACCGAGTGGTGTACCAATATCATTAGTATTGTATCATTAATGTTTTGAACCTGAGCCAGGCTATGATCCGGCTTGTATCTATTATCTAATTATCTGCTATTATTCGTTATGTTATCGTGATCGCGACAGATCAGTTCGCTCTGATTGTAGCGTTTGACGCTCATCAAATCAGTTTCGCATTATGTGCACTGGAGAACTGATTGCGATCTTAACACAACCATTCGGCGGAGACTGAACGGTCTCCGCGGTAGCTCAGAGGTAGAGCCTCAACCGGTAATTGGTACGTCGCGGGTTCGATTCCCGTTCGCGTAGGAAAGTTTTGCTCGAAACCGAGTGGTGTACCAATATCATTAATGTTGTGAGCCTAAGCCAGGCTATGATCCGGCTTGTATCTGTTATCTAATTATCTGTTACAGTTCAGTACATAATCGTAAAAAATTCCATCCACAGGTTTTCTCAGAAATCAAATACAGCAGAGAAAACATACGAACCCTTCGTCCTACTTCGTTATTCCATCGGTTCATCAGCGATCGCCCATGATCATGCGATCGCTTCGGAAAGCCTTGTTCCTTCTCTCGAACATCGATAAAATCCCGACTGAATCTATATCCATACTCAACATTATCTCCACAACCGCCCCATGTCCACTTCGCGTTAACACTTCGTGGTTTCGCCGCTTGACTGCAACCACAAGACTGCAGTAAGCCTAACCGGCATCTTCGACCAATTTCGTGTGTAACACCTGCTGATAGTATTGAGTATGTGAACGCAGCTTCTCGAGACCCTGAAAATTGGACTCTCACAGTGAAGCTGGAGATAGTAGTCTATCAGAAACTCCTAGAACATCCCGCTCTTTCGTAAATTCTTGAAACTGTCGGATATTCAGTCCCTCATCAGTGATCTTGAATTACGAATACCGTGATGCTTTCATCAACTGGACTGATGTATAAGGATGAAATTTCGAGCACATTATTGCGAAATACAGACAACGTAGTTCGGTTTTTTTCAGCAATAAATTGCGATTTTCCATGATACTATTCATGCATGATTAATGTGAATCATCTGAGGGAAATAATGCTAGTGCTGAAACAGCGAACATTTCGTAACAACAATATTTG